GGAATTGCTTCCACTTCACGCCTGTCTGTGTGGTCGTGGTATTGGGGGCGAGCCCTGCAGTGCTAACATGTTAAAGCGGGCACTACCACTGTTAAAAAATATAATCTAAATTTCATCGTAATCCGTTCAGCAGTTTAAGCTACAATAACAAATATCGATCTAAACTTTCGCGTTTATAATATTAGTAAGATTTTAGACAATAACTAGCTGTTTCCGTGCGACTTCATCCGCATGAAATTATGAAAATTTTATTTTTTTGTTTACATTTGTCAAATTATCAATTACAAATGTCAACATGACATGACATGGCAACCTTGTTTCCTTGATGTTGGCAGCAACTTATGGTCTCTTTACCACATTAGGGTTTTTATCCAAAATATATGCCCCCTAAGGTTAATGGCGTGAAAATATATAGCCTAAAGCGTGACTTAAGTGTAGGGCTTTTTATTAAAAATAGAATTATTGAAAAATATGCTGTAATTGCTGACATCTTAGGCAACAAAGAAGTGTGTTTACACTTTATCATAATAGTATAGATATAATTGTAACATAGTAATTAATTAAACACTCAGACTAATAACTCTTGTTAAGATAGCGATATTCTAATACGTCTGAGTGACATTGACAGCTGTCATAGTGACGGGACGTTGCCAATGATCTAGTGATGTCCCGTTCATCGTGGAACCGGTTTTATTTTCAAAATACTTTCATCACTTAAAATAAACATAAAAAAAACTATGACACTATAACACCTATCTCGTCAGTCGCTTACAGCCAAAGACATTAAAGAAACATGTAGACTTATTTTACCTTTTTTTTCCGGTAACTTCTTTGTACTTCTTTCATCTAAATGTTATATTTAAGTTATTCTCCTGCAGCTTCCTCCCAGGTCTTCCATCAGCCCCGGCTGCCAGGACCTGCTGAGCCGCCTCCTCCAGCACGACCCTGACAAGAGGATCAGCTACGAGGATTTCTTCTCCCATGAGTATTTGGACTTGGAACATATGCCGTCTAAGGAAAACTATGAAAAGGTAACTTTCAAAATATTTAAATAAGGGAAAAACACTTTATACTGACAGATATTGATATTATTAAGTTGCATTCTTTCTTTCTCGTATAATGATTTCCCAATTTATTTACCCCCTAAGTTTAATAGCGTGAAAATTTATAGACTAAAGCGTAAGTGTAGGGCTTTTTATTAAAAAAAAATAACTACGAAAATGTAGTGTTATTACTGACATCCTACATGACAAAGAAGAGTGTATTTACGCTTTACTAGTTGTTGCTCGCGACATCGCCCGCGTATAATTGAAAAATGTAGCCTATGTTATTCACAGATAAATAACCTTTCTAACGGCGAAGGAAATTTAAAAATCGTCCCGGTAGTTTTTGAGTTATTTCAATATATACAAGAAAACAAATCTTTCCTCTTTTATATTAGTATATAAGATTGACGATAATCTACCTCCAACACTTTCTAGACTTCTCGGTCTCAATCGTGTACGGGTGTTTCCCCAGTGCGGGACATTCTAGAAGGTTGTAGAGTGGTGTATGTGGCAGGCTGTGGGGCTGATCAAGCGCGCGGTGGAGCTGGACGCGCGGGGGCAGCTGGCGCGCGCGCTGGCCGCGTACGGCGACAGTCTGCGCTA